AGTTGCATGTGAATAACTTTACGCATGTGAGTACTCCAAAGGACTTCAAAATGCATCTACGTCTGGGCATGAAGTTAAATGTGTGTAAATATTTACAGGGTCGAGGCTTTTGTTTGCATACTGAATTCCTTTTGACTGAAATCGAGTGAGCCATATGGGAGGGCACCAGCCCACCCAGGACAGTGGAGGAAGGAAAGAGCCTACTGGTGAGCCAAGCACTTTGACTGGGGCTGATTCTCTTCACAACATTAACAGCGGGATATGCCCCCACCAGTGGGAAGTGGAGGATCAGTGGGGCTCAGGGGAGGGGGGAATTAAGTGAAAAATCAGGGAGAAGACAGCAAGGGGGGAGCATGTAAAGAGCCAATGGGTGGGTAGCATAGGTGACATGTAACCAGCTGCCACTTGCCCATACTCACCAGCCACCATAGCTCACGTGAATCAGAAATGGGATGGAGGTGGGGCCTACTGACCAAGAGTTGGCACGCAGTGGGGCTGCACTGATGGACCAGCAGGAAGAGCAGCTGGCCCCACGTGCTGCATCTTTGCCCTGCCACTGGCCTTGCATATCTACCCCCATCATTGGCCACTGGATTCTTCCACTCACCCCTGGTGGAGCATGCAAGCAGGGATGCAGCCAGCAGCAGGACCTGCCAGTAATAATGATGGAAGGCAAGACAAAATACAAGACCCATTTTTTGCCTCTTTTTAAGAAAAAGGACACCTGCACCAGAGCTTAAATGTGGAATTATCCCTTTAACAATGGGACTTCTGCCTGCAAGCACTGCCCCCTGCAGATCCCATTGGCCAGGGATGGGAAACTTGACAATGGGAACTGACAGGATGGTGCCAGGAGAGAGGAGCAGCATGCGGAGACATGTTTTTTGCCACCATTAAGGCCACGGGTGCATTAGGCCCTTCCAGAATCAGCCTGGGGCTAGAGCAGGAAGAAAGCCTGCTACAGCCTTGCTGCGCTGCCCCACTACTGGCTCCCAGGGACCAACACACATACCTCCTCCTGCACCCCAAATCCCATCCTGTACCCCAAGCCCCAGCCCTAAACACCCTTCCAGAGCCAGTAAATGTGCCCTTTCCTGCAATGCATTGCAAGCTCAGGCCTTAAGCCCTCTTCCAGAGCCATCACTCATATGCCCTCCTGAACCTCAACCCTCTGCCCCAACCCTGACCCCCCTCCAGGAGCCAGCACCCATGTCCCCTCATACACTGTAATATTCCACTTGAGCCCCAACTGCCTGCCCCAGACTAGTAAAAGTGAGTGAAGGTTGGAGAGAATAAGTGATGGAGAGAAGTAGGGATGGAATGAGCAGGGCAGGGCAGATCTTAAATTCAGAATGTGATCTTGGACATAAAAAGGTCGGGGACCACAGGTTTAGAAGATACAGTCCATAAGCATTTGCATTTTTTGTTTATACCATTTTATCTGTGAAAAATGTCTAGGGCCCTAACTATAATTTTCCTGGTTAGTATTAGTAACTAAAAATACTGACTCTATATTTAGGTTTAAGAATTTTTAAACACATAATTTTTCAGTCACACAAATGTGCCAAAATTTCCAGCTGAAGCTGGACATACTTATTAGGTATCTAACTGTGTGTGTTAACTGATCTGAGAGGCTTTCAGAAGACTGAGCAATTATTGAGACATACCACAAAGATTTATTATACATAAAAATATAACACAATTTATCAGTGATTCAATCTTCCACTGTATTTATAATACAGTGAAAGCTTTATTATCCAGGACTCTGCTAACTGGAAAACTTTATTAACTGGCATTGCCCACAGCCACAATACTACCATGTCTTCATTGGATTATAGTGTAGTCAACTAATCAATTAACTAATAAGCAAAAGCTTATCGGTTAATGCTTTAGACTACATGCATTTCCCTCCCCCGCTTGCCAGTAAATTTTTTAGCAGGCTGGCCAGCAGCCCTGCTCAGTTCTGGCTTGCACTGGTTCTGGGACCTACCACTGTTACAGCTCTGCATTTAAAGTGTATTAGGAGCTGGGAAGGCAGGCAGCCTTGCTCAGTTCTGGCTCGCGCCAGGTATGGGAACTCAGACCCACCCCGGACTGGGGCTGTGGCCACTCCACCCCACTGCCTCTTATCAGAGGCAGCAGTGTGGCATGACAGGCATCTAGTCCGTGAGGAGAGCTGTTTTTTAAACTGGCTCGCCTCGCAGACAAGTTCCCCGCCTGGCACCCTGCGCTGCTGCTTCTGATACAGAGGCAGCAGCTCAGAGTGGCAGGGGGATTTTTGGGAGTGGGGTCGGAGTGCACAGGCTGCTGGCCCCACCCCCAATGACATAGTCAAGTAACCGATAAGAATTCATGAGGTTAATCGACTATTCAGTTAATTGATATTTAACATCATATTCTTCACGTATGTGTGCCTGACTCCCACCTGTCCAGCAGCTTGTTGCAGGGCTTCTGACAGCCAGCATTGCTGGCTGAAATCATGAGCAGGCACCTCCTTCCTCTTCAGCCTGCCACTAGCTGCCAGGAGTCAGATGTACTGGTAGGGGGTGAGAGCAGAGCAATAAGCTTTGTTATCCAGCACATTCGTTTAACTGGCAACCGCCATTCTTCCAAAGTGCTGGGTAACAAAGCTTTCACCATATATAGAAAAGTTAACTAAAACACACTGCAACAACTATTCAGCTAAGCATGTTCCCGAATAATAGTTTCAACCACAAAAAAACCCACCTTCCTTTGGCATTCCAAACAGTAAATTAAATCAAATACGCATGAATACCTAAATAGTTGACAATCATTGCCAAAGATGAATTAAAAATCCTTGCGAAAAGTGTAATTTGAGAAATAAATTGAAGATTTACTTAATTACACATTTATTTTTGAGATATACAGTATTTATTCCAGAGGCGACATGAGCTGAAGGAAGTAGAATTGGGAGTCACTTTGGCTACGTCTAGACTGCAGGCTTTTTTCGGAAGAAGTTTTTCTAGAAGAGATCTTCTGAAAAAATTTCTTCTGAAAGAGAGTGTCCACACTGCCAAAGCGCATCGAAAAAGCGATCTGCTTTTTTGAAAGAGAGCGTCCAGACTGATTGGAATCTATTTCCCATAAAAGGCCACCCGGATCCACTTCAGCCAGGGCTTTAGGTCACCAGTTGCTTCCGAGTGCTAGTGCTGGAGCCTTGCACAGATACATGTTTAAAGGCCCCCTCCCCCCCGGACAGCAGTTTCTCTGCTTCTGCTGTGTGCTTGCCTACCTCTTCGAGGGACACCTATGCTCTTGCAGTGTGTGCTGTGGTTGCCCAGCTTTTTTGGACGCCACAGCTTTTTCCTTTGTGCCATGAAGCCAGAGCTGCCTCTGGGCATGTGATGGCCCCACACAGCCATACTCTAGTTTCTGCAGCACTTTGTGCCAGCTGCTTTCTTGGTCCTGACCAAGCTCAACCCCAAGCTCAATCTGGGGACCCTCTCCCTAGGTGCGGGAGCAACACCCTTCCCTCCACAACCCTCAATGGAGAGGTGTTTCTGGAGGCTGGACACCAGTTCCAACTGGTGGCACTGGCTGGTCATGGAACGGTGGGACAACCAGCAGTGGCTCCAAAACTTCTGCAGGAGGAAGGCCACCTTTTTGGAGCTGTGTGCCTGGCTCGCCCCTGCCCTATGACGCAATACCCACATGTAGCCCGCCATCCCCTTGGAAAAGCGGGTCACAATCACTGTATGGAAGCTTGCCACCCCAGACAGTTACCAGTCAGTGGGCAACCAGTTTGACATGGGGAAGTTCACCATTGGGGCCCTCCTCATGGAGGTAAGGCATTCTCGGGCTGCAGTCCCTGAAGGGCGGGGAGTCCTGGAAAAGGGCGATCCTCAGGAAAGAAGGGATTGGGGTGTGGGAGGGTGGAGTGGAGGGAAGCCCCATCCCTGGGGGGTTGTGCCATCCTGCCCTCACACAGCCCTGCTGCTGGGGCGGTGGCTCTTGGGGAATTTGAGGGAGGGGAGGGTAGGGGAGTAGAGGGGACGGGCACCTCCCAAGGGCTCAGGCACTCCCTCTCTCATTCTCTGTTTTGTATGTTTGTTTGTCTCCTGCAGGTTGTGAGGGCCATCAATTCCATCCTGCTGCATAGGGTCATATGCCTGGGAGACCTGGACCCATCTCTGGCTGGATTTGCTGCCCTGGGGTTCCCCAACTGCGGGGGAGCCATTGATGGGACACACATCCCCATCCAAGCACCGGACCATTGAGCAGGCCAATATATTAACTGAAAGGGCTACTTTTCCATTATCCTGCAGGCCCTGGTCAACCACCGTGGACAGTTCACAGACATTTTTGTTGGGTGGTCGGGAAGGGCACGTCATGCCCAGATTTTTCAAAACTCCAGCCCCTATGGGAAGCTGGAGGCGGGCATATTCTTTCCCCGTCAGGACTTTGCGGTTGGGGATGTGCAGATGCCACTGTGCATTGTGGGGGATGTGGCCTACCCCCTGATGCCATGGCTAATGAAGCCTTATACCAGCCACCTGAACCCCAGCAGGGACTAATTTAATGCCCACCTGAACATGGTGTGGATCCAGGTGGAGTGCACCTTTGGCCGCCTCAAGGTGCAGTTCAGGTGCCTCCTGACCCGTCTGATTGTGAGGGAGCACAACATCCCCGAGGTGGTGTCGGCATGTTGTGTCCTCCACAACACTCTGGAAAAGAAGGAGGAGGCCTTCCTGCCGGGGTATGCAGCAGATGCTGGCCACAAGGGGAGACTGTTTGAGCAGCCACAGACAGCTGCCATCCGATAGGCCCATCAGGCCGGGGTGCACATCCGGGAGGCCCTCAGGGTGAGTTTCTCTCAAGGACTCCAGTAACTCTCCCCATGGCCTTCCCACTAGGAGCTTCTGGCTTGCTGAACTATCCCTTTCCCACCACAACCTCTCCCTTTGCCCCTTCCCTGAACTCTCAGTAAACACACCTGTTTGGTTTTGAAGAAAACAAACTTTGTATTTGTATTTTAGGGAAAAAAAAGGAGGGAGCAGAGGGGAGAGGAGTTCCTAACCTGGAGGGAGAGGAGGGCGCCTAACCTGGATTGGGAGGGGGGCTCAGAGTGGTGTCATTGCTGGCTGGATGTGCCATCTTGGGTGAGGGTACTTCATCGGACTTGGGGTCCTGGAACTACATGGGGGTGGGTAAGAGGGGAGGCGGAGCAGGGATGGCGCAGGGGGAGGGAGCATGAGCATCACTTAGGAAGGGGGCATGGGCATCGCTTGGAGAGGCAGGGGGAGGAGGAATGGGCATAGCCGGGAGGGCAGGAGGGTGGTAAGCAGGAGCAGCAACAGCAGCTGAGTGTGCCATCATTTCCCTCATGATGGCACACATGCTATCGCACGGCTGCATGAGCTGGTTCTAGATGCGGTTACACCACTCTGTGTCCTCCGGGATCTTTTATGCCAGGGTCTGCTTCATTTCGTGGAGGGCACTGACATGCTGCCATATCTTCATGGACCCTGGCGCGCTTTCGGATACCCTGGGCTCTGGCGGTATCCCCATAGTTCCGATTGGTCCAGCTGTGGAGAAAACAAAGAGGGAGAGGCGGTCAGTCATCCATGCAGACACTGTCCCTGAGGCCATGCCCTCCTCTGTGAGCAGCAACCAACAGTCCTCGGGCCAGAGGAGGGGGGGATGTCCTGGGAGCAAGGCCATGTGTGGCCTGCACAGCAGGCCCTGCCTCACAGGGGTCCTGAGGTGCCCAGGGAACCATGTTGCCTGATTCCCCTTTCCTCCTCCCCCAGCCCACAGACAAACAGGCAAGAGAAGTGTCCGGCCACAGTGGGTTCCCCCCCATGGGCGGCAGAGGAGCCAGTAGCAGCCTGGCCCTCCTTGGGGCCCACACATACACATGTGCCTGGCTGTTTTTCTGAAAAAAAAACTCTAGTGTAGACATACCCTTTGCTTCTCATGTATTCACTGCAAGATGTTCGATAAGTCACTTAAAAAAAGCTCTTCCTATAAAACTTAGACCACCAACTACTGTCTTAGTATCTCCACTTGTGAAAAGGGAATAAAATGTATCCTATCACTGCAGTGTTGTGAGAATTAAAAAATTATTTGTATAATTCATTACTGTGGCAACTGGGCACTTACCGGATTTTAGATAAGCTATTTAGTTCATATCACTTGGATCAAAATTGAAAATTTTGGTGTACTGGTGTAAATAGCCTTTAAAAATCTTCAGTGTTATGTATTTTTCTTTTTAGCTACTGAATAATACATTTAAAGCAAACTGTGGGAAGTTCAAAATAATTGTATTTGAAATTAAGGCATAATTTTCATAATTCTGGTCAGAACTATTTGTCTTTGCTCAGCAAATGCAGAATGATGCAAGGCATAGCTAAATATTAAAGTTATTGTAAGGACATTTTCTGGACCACCCAAAAGGCCCGCAGGTTCCTTACAAAGCTAGCAAAGCAGACAACTGCTGTTTATTGTAGCAAAGCCACTACTAATTCTTGAATTCAGATCTAAGGAATAGGTTTATTTAGTATAGGTAGAAAGTGCCATAGCCGAGTGATGTACACTAAGGTGTATCAGGCCAATGCTTTCACTACATGTACAAACAAGGTATACATTAACAAAGATGAAGACTTAGTCTTCATACACTCATTTATAGCCAGAATGACTCAATACTATTACCAACAACCTTCTCCTCTTATTTGTTAGCAAATAATATTTTATGACCAAATACAAGATCCCACATTACTTTCTAAATTATATAAACTTGTTTATTTATTAACAGTAACAAACCTATCAATCTTATTTATCTGATAGAGGTCTGTAGGATTTTGGGGACATGTCTACCCCGATTATATTTGTCTGGGTCATCATAACCTTTGATATTTACTTCATCTTAGAGATCTTGTCCCCACAATGGGGACATTTCAGGATTTGAATAACAAGATACATACTAAGCTGAAAATGTTGTGGATCCCTTCTGAAAAGAAGTTATTCAATAGTCTCATGAATGAAATTAAACCAATCCTTTATTTATATTGGTTATGCACTTGCATGTTTTATATTATTAGTTAATATGTTATTGTAATGGGCTTCACTCACCACTATGGCATCTCCTTGATATCCTAGAGATTGACTCTGCTGCCCAGTGCATCCTCTTCCAGTGATGTCTCACCATGATAACTTCTTTTCCAGGAACATTTCTCTCCACGTACCACAGCGTCCTCTTCAGGAAACAGGCCCCTAGTTATGCTGCGCTCCATCCTTCCCTCTTCCAAGGGATCTGTAAATCTCTATCCAGTTACTCCTTCAGTAGTAACTGCAGTCCATTGTCCTAGGGGCCACTTCTGCCTTTACCTCAGAATCTCAACCTGTGGACCCGAGCACCAAGCCAGATCTTTCTAGCTTCCCCAGTCCCTGCTTGTGACCCTGCTCTGTCCCAGGTATTACCACTCTTTTTTTGCTAGGAACCTAGTTTTCTCCCCCATAAAGCTCTAATTAGCTATTAAAGTCTGCTCTGCCCTGTAGTCCTTCTTATATGAGCCTGCCAGACCATGACTGGCTACTTCTCTCAGCCCATTTCTAATTGGTCGTCTCCAGTGTATACTCCCTAGAGCTGCTTTTTACCCCTTTTTCTGCCAGTGAAGGGTTGCTGCTCCATCACAGTAATTTTATCTAATCAATCTGTCTGATCCATTAAATACACCTATGTCCTTACCATTTTACCTGAGGTAAGTTCTAATCATTGCACTTGGAAAAATATTAGTAGACTCCAAGCTTGCCATCAGAATTTTACTGGGCTCCTAAAAGGGGGTCAGATGGAAGGACGATACCTTGCGTTTTTATTAGTAGATATTTTAATACATCTGAATATCAACTGGTTGTGTACAAGAAATCCACCATCCACCCTCTAGATAACAAACATATAAAACCCATGCCTTGACCTATTTTGATTGGGTTTAGATATAGACACTACAATAGATAATTATCAAGTAAATATGAGAACTATCAATGCTAGTTACAGAGACATAAAAACAAACCATAATTTCCATAAGGTAAATGAACAATTTGTGTTTGCAGAGAGAAATTTTGAACACTAACATTAGAGCCACTGAAGCAGGGAGATGACTGTGGTTGTTGCTGCCTTATGTGTAAATAGAAATGGAAGAACTGAGGCTACTAAATCAAAATGACTGTGTGAGGGCAGAGCAGCGTTGGGAGTAGTACAAATGCATAAAAACAGCAAACACTGGGCAAATGTCTTTGAAGTCATTCATCCCCTAAGCAGCAACTATTTTTTTTTATCTGTATCCTTTTAAAGTGGCCTTGGAAATACATGATACGGAGAATAAGCATATCAGTCAACAGTATATCAGTCAACTCCACGCAACACATTACCAGTTTTGTGCCCTCCTGTCCCAAGATACACAATTTCTCTTGGCAGCTGAAAAATAGACTCAGAGGGGTAGCCATGTTAGTCTGTACCTTTAAAATCCCTCAGTAATCCTGTGACACCTTAGAGATTAACAAAAATCTGAAGAAGTGGGCTGTGCCCACAAAAGCTCATACCACCATTTACATGTTTTATTAGTTTTTAAAGTGCTACTAAACTATTTGTTGCTTTTAAAGTTTATCGTGTACAGACTAACGCGGCTACCCCTCTCAAGCTTTTGAAAAATAGACATTCAGCCAGCTCTACAAAAAATGAGAAACCCACCCCATACATGAGTAGTATTCTTCAGGGGCTGGTTCTGAATGTTATACAACCCGCTCCCCTTTTACCAGAATGGTGTAAAGTGGGGGTGGAGAACCTTTTTTGGGTCAGGGCCACTGACCCACAGAAAAATCAGTAGGGGCTGCACAAAAATAAGAAACAGCACCACCACCACTCATCTATGTGGGCTCCCCAATGTTGGGAGGAGCCCTGAGCCTGAGGGGCCAGATCCAGGCATGCTGAGGACTGCATCCGCTCCCTGGGCCACAGTTTCCCCACACCTCATGTAAAGGGACTGAAGCATATGGAGAATGTGTCCATGTTTCCCCCTCACACTAAAAAAAATGGACACTCATTTCCCTGGAATTGTTTCTCACTCTTTGTTCTGACTGGGTTATGCTGAGCACAGGATAAAAATGTGTAATGGTAATGGTGGCTTTATGTTATCTTTGGACTCCCTGTATTCCTGGGCTGGTGGTCATCCTAGGTGCTGTTCTGGCAGGCATTGAGATATGGAATGTCTCTTTTCCTTGGTCATGCTTCCTACATCAGGAAACTGCAAAATGGTGGTTGGCACAGAACTACAGTAGCTCTCTATCACCTGGGAGCTTTCTCGGGAGGAAATCCCAGCTGCCTAGATACAGCAGCTTTACAACCCTTTTATAACAACAGAGCAAAATAAAAGGACCATATCAAAGCAATTATGTGCACTGTGTATCATCATTATCTAATGATCTCTGTACTGTGCTTTGCTCATTCACTCTCTCATGCCCTGTCTAGATGCAAAAATTGTACTGATTTAACTCAATTAGTTTAGAAACTGCTTTCATTAAATTGGCACTATTGATCTCCATGGGCATTTAAATCGGTTTAAGAGTGCCTTATTCAATTTACCTTAAGTTGATATTTGCCAATTTAAACTTTTACTTGTGTACGTAGACAAGGCCTCCCACGCATAGACTCACCTCTCCTTCTTCCCCTTTTATACTTCTAGCACGGTTCTCTCTCACACACAGGCAGTTCTTGTACTGCCTACTACACTTGCACACAAAAGTTGCACCGTATTAAAATATTTTTAATGAAATAGTTACACTGTTTTAAACTGATGCACACTCCTTTGTGGGCACACTTATATCTGTTTTCACGTGGCTAATTTGGATTTAGTTCCAGACAGTGGGGTTTGTACAACATTGAAAAAAACCCACCCGAAACTCTTACTTTTCCCCTTTCTCCCAGATCCCCCTTTTCTTTCACACAAGTACCCCCTGCCACACTTCTCCCTCGTCCTCAGGAACAGACATCCCGAAAACACCGTCTCGCTCCCTGCCCTCACACCCCACACACTCCTGCTTTCCCCGTAGCGCTCTCTCTCGCTCACTCCCATGCTTGCCTTCTTCCTCACACGGCTCTCTCTGGGCGGGCTGCTGTGTAGGGCGGAGTGGGGCTGACAGGCAGGCTCAGCGTCCAATGGAAATCGGGAGAGTGCGGGGCCGGGAGAGACCTGTCCAATGGCCGCGCTCGGAGGCCCGGTCCCTGGTCTCGGCGAGAATAAAAGCGGCTGCGTGCGCGGCGCTCCCTCGCTTACACAGTATGGCCGGCGACATTAGCTAGCGCTAGCCCTACGCTCTTCTCTGCAACAGGGGAAAATACGGACTACAAGGAACCGAACCGCCTCGCCTGCCCCGCGCCCGCCCGCCCGGACTGTAAGCCCCGCGCTCACGCCGCAGCCGCCGCGCACCCGGGCGGTTCCGCTGCTGCCGGTTTGGCTGAAGGGTCACGTAACAAACATCCACTGGAAGGTGACTCGCGGCCGGGGAGCCGGCGGCGGCGCGGCCCGTGCAGCAGCGGCCGCCGGGCTGGGCTTAATTTCTGTGGTTGTTGGTTGCCGAGCTGTCGCGCCATGGAGGAGAACGGTGCACACTTCTTCGAAGGGACCGAGAAGCTGCTGGAGGTGTGGTTCGCCCAGCAGCAGCCCGCGCCGCAGGAGCCGCACCAGAGCAAGGGGTCCGGCGACCTCCGCACCATCCCCAGGTCGGCTCGCGGGGGGGGAGGGGGGGGCTGCGGGCAGGGGCGAGAGCCGGGCAGCCGCTGCGAGCCGCGCCGGGGTGCGGTTGGGCTGGGGGGAGGGGCGCGCCTGGCTCTTTCCCGGGTGAGGTTCTGGGGAGGGCGGGGAGCGGTAACCGGCCTGAGGCCCGGCCTGGCCCCGAGTCACGTTCCCTGCCCTTGCCCGCTCCGGACTCGGGGGCCGCGTGACCTTCCCCCGCCCTCCAAGGGCCCCAGCGCGGGCCCCGGGCAGCGCCTGGCTCGCAGCCCGCCCGCGGCGCGTCCCCTACTGGCTCTAGCCAGCGCGCCCGGCGAAGGTGCTAGTCAGTGCCGGGTCTCTGCGCAGCGCAGAAGCCATGACACCCGCCTCCCCGCGTGGAGTCCCGAGGGCCCTGCTGGCAACGTGGTGACGGGGTGAGGGCTGGAGCCGCGGCAAGTGGTGCAGCGCTGCACGCGAGGGGGCCGCAGCTGCAGAGGCCGCTGCCCTGCGCACCCTGCGGCTTCAGTCTAGATTCGGCTGTCGCGTGGCCCTTCCCCTGGTGACGAAGCCCAAGAGGGAGCCGCCTTTATGTCGGAGTCCCCTATTGCCAAGCGACCGGGGTGAGGAGAGGGCTGAGCTACCCGAAGAGTGACACAGGTTGTCACCTGTGTCGAGACCCTCCTCGGAAAGCGTGTCCGCTACCTTCCCCCACCCATGGTGCCTGCATTAGGAAAGGAGCGATCTTGTCCTCTGCTGTAGAGGCAGGGCTTCGGGGTTGCCTCACGGTGGGTTTCGTAGCAGCTCCAACTCCCTGTAATGAGTAGAGCCGGTTCAGATAGCAACCTCCCTCCCCGCAAAGGCCATTCATCCGGGGAGATCCCTAGTCAGTAGTTGTGGCGCAGTGGGACAGCCTGGCAGGCGGTAAGGAGTAGCTCCCTCCCAGTGCTAAGTGTGGCTGGAACCGCGATTACACGTGAGTTTCCTGGCTCAGCCTCTCTCCAAATCAGGCTGCCTCTCCTTTCTCATTGACAAATTCAAGCCAATGAGGTTTGGGCCTGGGGTTGTCACCCAATGGGCATTTCAGTAATGTGCTGGCGCTTTCCACCCCTAGTCCTGCAGGGGGGAGAAGGCTGAGTCTCTCTTGTACATGTGCTTCTGCCTTTCCTAGTAGGGACAGCGTCTGTGAACTGTGGCTGCCTTGCTTTGTCAAGGTACTGTTTAAGACAAACCTGTGTTTAAGACCGATCAAAGACTGGTCTTTGATTAGTGTTGGGCGGTTGTCATCAGTACGGTGTTCTCTTGCCTGGGTACTCTGATTGCTTGGACTGTAAAAGTGGTTAACAGAAGCATCTGCCACAAATATTAAATTAAGAAGCTTGAAGTCAGGAGGAAATCAGTTTCAAATTTTAGTTGTAGGTACATATATAATTCATCTAAAATTTCTACATGCTTTTAGTACTTCATAATGAGTATGGAAAAAGTAGCTTACATATTTAGTAGTTCAGGCAAATAGTCTTAGACGTAATGCTGCATGTGTACCAGGTCTCTGAATATACCTAGTACTGATACAAAATGTTAGGTACTGTAAACCATTCCTGTTCTCTAGTGCTTATGGCCTGAAAGGGAAAAGGGAACATATAAAAATCCATGGAACTAAGGTTTCAATCATCATCCTGACCATTCAACTTGGTATGTAGGAAGCTATTGCTAACACCTGTTCCATCTAGCATGTATTGGTTGGCAGACTTCTTGCAGATATTGCAGTAGAACTGGATCTTAATTTGAATAACTGGCATTGCAGATCTGCTTTAAAAAGGCATCCCATGTTCAGAGGGTGGCAGAAATGGTTATTGGAAGAATTGGATTGATTATAGCCAGGCTGGCATTCTGGGATGGGAGAAAAGCTTCTGATCTGGAAAACGGTTCAAGCTGTCTAGAGCAGTGTTTTTCAACCAGTGGTAGTACCCTTAGAAGAGAAGTCTGGGGGGTACGTCAACACAACTGAAATTTGGCAAAAACTGAATTAGTTTTAAGTTTTACAGTGCTTTATAATTTTTGTACTTTTACACCCAAAAATTTCATCACTTGCCTGGCTATGATTAAGTTGTTTAAACAAATGTGTTGCAATGGTAGAAAAAATTGTCAAACTGGAGGTACTTTTATTTATTTTATTCTTGAAATGGGGCACTTAATAAAAAAGGTTGAGAGCCACTGATCTAGAGTGGCTCATCAGTGAATGTTAACCTCAGGGCAGAAAGTCAAGCAGGGCACAAATCCCAAGTTGGTTGAGAGATCTAAACTTAAGTTTCAACAAGTAAAGCATGCAAATTTCCAAGTACTGCAGCAGTCAAACCATAGTCATAGAGTAGTTGTGTACTCTGGTCTGTTTAATGTTTTGGTTGGCATTTTTTAAGTTAGGGATATTAACTGAATCTTTGCGTCTAGATTTAAGCTGTTGGCCATAGAATGCTTTTGTATCCTCTACAAAAGGCTGGAACTTAAATTCTGATTCTATGTAAGGAACATAGTATAGACCAGTGGTCTTCAACCTTTTTAAGCATAAAATCACTTTTTGAATTTAAGTCAGTTCAGGATCTACCTCAAACCCAAATACCCCTACTCCATCCCTTTGTTGAGGCCTGGTCCTCCTCATTCTGTGAAGATGGAGGATAGACATCCATGCCCCCTCCCCTGCCTCTGTATCCACCCACCCTGCACAACAAGCAGGAACTTCAGAGATGCCCCTGGAAGCTTCTGAGCAGGACCAATATGGCAGTGCAGGGAGGAGCAGCTCAAGTGCCAGGCTTGATAGCCTTCTAGCCAAACCAGTCAGGATCACCTGTCAGAGGCTCCAAGATCTACTGGTAGCTCCCGATCAACTGGTTGGTGACCACTGGTATAGACTAAGATTCCCTTTGAACTACAATAAAACTCAAATTGTCTGGCATCCAGTGGTCCGACACTCCCGATAGTCTGGCACCAACTGGAACCCAGAAGTGCTCTGGCCAGCCGGACAATTGGAGCGGCTCTGTGCTGCTTCCCCAAGTTCGCCACTGCTGAAACTGACCAGCGGAGGACTTGGGAAAGCTGTGGAGCAGAGCAGCTGGGGTGCTGCTGGGTGCCGAACAGGGGGGTGAGGGGCAGCGCTGCTGGACCAACCCAGCAGCACCCCAGCTGCTCTGCCCCAGGCGTCCCCAAGTCAGCCGCTGCCGAAACTGACCAGCGGCCGGCTACAGTAAGCCCCAGGCAGAGTTGCTCTGCCCCTGGCTTCCTAGAATACACC